ATATGTGAAATCCTATTCAAACATCATTCGTATTCATATCATTATGGAAAATTTCAACTACCAGTCCTTTTAACCTTGAGCTAAGTAGAGTGTATATCTCATATAACCTTTTTCAGACATATTTAAGATGTTGAGCTTACTTCCATTTCGAGTGAAAGTATTTGGTGAAGAGATTCGAAGGTCGATTCCACCAGAAGACGACGGCGGATTCCTCTTGACCAGCTTGGCTTTACTGGAACATTCATGCTAACGCTATTCCCGAGGTAATCTTCTTCGATTCCGGTGAAAAGAGATTCCTCGAAAGACAACTTTATTCGCATATATTTAAGATATTCTTAGTATGTTTCAATGATTGAATCCTTTCTTGCTTTCTCTTGTATTATGGTCTGATAATTTTAACTAGCAGAAACCATGCCATTAGGGTTTGTGTACTCATCATCGTATAAGGCTTTACTCAAATGCTTTTGGCCTCCGTCTGATAGGGTAAATAAATAGACAAATAAAGCCAAAAGTTAAAGTTTTATCCGAGCAAAAACTAGTTTTATAGCATACAATTTGTAAAATCGATATTATTAACCTAATTAAAATAAGCAAAGCAATAACAAATGCAATTGCTAATACTTTTGAAAAAATATTACTTAGAAAGATCAGTATAGCATTGAATAGACCGGCAATCAGAGTTAAGTTTATAATGATAAATTATTTATTTTGGTATATATGCTATTATGGATGGATGCAGCACTTAAAGAGAAAATATAGCAAGTAAGAAAGAAAGTAAGTAGAAGCAGAGAGAAGAAAAAGGGCAATCGATTGTTTACATTCTTCAAAATAATTGGTCTTTTAATTTATATGTGTTATAAATATGATAAATTTTATTTTATTTTTTATAAGTATTTACAAAACTTGTTCAAAATTTTAGGATGGCGAAGAGGTCAAGCTTATAAAGCCGTTTGCCCTTGATGGTCAGGTCGAAGAATGGCTAAATAAACTCTTAGATGAAATGAGAGATACCATGAGGCTGACGTTATCGGATGCTGTGGCAGCATATGAGGAAAAGGCTCGTGAGCAGTGGATATTTGACTATCCAGCTCAAATATCCCTGACTGGCTCCCAAATTGGTTGGAATTCTGAAGTGCTTATCGCCTTCGCTCGTCTTGAAGAGGGCCTAGAAAACGCGATGAAGGATTATAATAAAAAACAGATCTATCAATTAAGCGTCATCATTCAACTATTACTGACCGACCTAACTCCAGGCGATCGTCAAAAAATCATGACATTATGCACAATTGATGTGCATAACAGAGATGTAGTCAGCAAGTTGATTTCACAAAAGGTGGAATCATCACTTGCTTTTGCCTGGCTTTGTCAATTGCGGCAGCGATGGGACGAAATCAAAAAAGATTGCTTCTCAAACATATGTGATGCCCAATTTGTTTATGCGCATGAGTATTTGGGAAATACACCCCGTCTTGTGATCACTCCTCTAACTGATAGGTAATCTGCTTTCGTAGTGAGTTTATCATTTGGCCATGTTCAGAAATTTCTAAAATATCTGCTTATAGGTCTCTTATAACATGAAGAAATTTGGCATTCCAGCTAGCACTCAAATTAGCTATTCCCGGAATACTCGTTCATGATAGCAACAATATTCGATGGTCCGTGGAATACGCTACAAATCGGTACCTTCATCCGCGACCATGACTTCCCGATCGCATAATTTTTATTCCAAATTCATTCTCTTTATGCATACGTTCTGGTAACTATGCCATACTGCTCCAGTTCCTTGGCAGAGTTTTTTAAATCCGACTCGTGGAATGCATGATGACGGCGTACTAGCCTACTTACTATGTAATTCACATAATAAAACTTTCTTTTTTGATGACGTTAGGAGTCTTAGAGTCGTGTAAATAGGAAAGATGAAGCCTTTGTCATAAAAGTATCCCAGTTGCACGTACATATACATCTCGAAGCCTGGTTCTGTCTATTGTCCTCTGCCCATCGATGAGAGGAGCACATAATTACAGCTAAAATCAAGAAGCCTTGGGGTGTAGGGAAAATTCACCGGTAAAAAGAAGCTTAGTTTCGACAAAAAAGCCATGATATTTTGGCTCTCTAAGCATGTGGTAAAACAAGCTAAGTAATCTGCCTATATGAACAATCGTATTTCAGCAGGTATACAGGTCTAAGAACAAGCAGTCCATGGTATTTGTAGGTGGTTTTACTCCTACAACGAGTTATCTCGAAGAAAAAAACTTCAGTTCCTCCATATTATTTTGCTTGACAGTCTGTTAAATTAATCGGGCTTTGTGTATTTAAAAGGTCTCAATAAAACTCTTCTTAAGAGTTTTCCATGACAGTTTTAAAAGCACTAGCGAACACGACTTTATGCCTGTTTTACCTTTGGTAGCATTTAGAGTCTGAGACAAGAAGAGAGCTTTCGGTGGCCAGCCACACAATTTAAAATGGTTAATCCGTACTGCTTTAAGTATTCACATTTTTTTACTGAGAGATGTCAAACATCCAAACACACTTTATTAGCATTCAGAAAAGAAGCTTGGTCTAATTAAACGAGGATAGATGTCGAAGCCTGCCAGTAACTCGTCTTTAAATTATGTCGATTCCTATATTTTAATACAAAAATCTTTTATATTGGCCTAGATTTCATCAGAGTAGAGATTTTGTGAGTAAAATTATAATCAGACTCTGATTTAACTGAATTACCTGTGCATCTAAGCCATACATTAGAATGGATTTGCGAATATTTTTGGCCTACAGAGTGATTAGGTGTGTAGCCACTATATTAACTTCATTTAAACCTGATTTTATACTTATTTGGAGAATCTAAAAGACTTCAACTATTGTTGAGGAGATTTTCTTTTCCTATGAAGATGCACAAGGAAGAGATTCGAAAGTTTATCATACCAGAAGACCACGGTGGATTCCAGTTGCACTACAGCAGTTTGGTTTTATTGCTACGTTAAATTCGACACAGTGCACAGTCCATTCCCTCATTTCGGGCGAAAACCCTCTGAGCTTTGGTCCAGCATCTAATGGGCATCATCAGAGCTGGAACCCATTCTCAAGTTAATACTAGGTCAAGAATACCGTCCGGCTATATCTTAGCTCTTCTATCTACTCATAAATAAACAACGAAAAAATATAGGCATGGATAGATATAGAATGGTTTGGCTAATTATCTTTCATATTGGTCATGATACTTTTACTTGCGTATGCGTGCTTGTGTGTCTGTATGTTAATGTCTATATCTCTCTTCGTGCATTTTTATACTAAGTTTCCCAAGCAGTAGTATGTTAGGCGATTAATCGAAACCCAATTATTCTTCGTATCTACCAGATTTAAACTGTATAATAGTCTAAATAACCTCCGTAGTTTGTTTTTAATCAGCACAATTGCCTTGATTGTCTCGAAAATTTGCCAAACCTTGATTAACTATTCATTCAGTTTGTGAATATACTAGTTTATTTTATTTTCTAAAAGGTGCTATATCACATTGACTCAGTCTCTGCACCTCTGCATGAGCGGGGCCCCTGCCGGCCCGGCAGGAACAGGCAAAACTGAGACTACCAAGGACTTGGGACGAGCAATGGGTATCATGGTTTATGTCTTCAATTGCTCCGAACAAATGGATTACAAATCAATCGGAAGCATTTACAAAGGCCTTGCACAAGCCGGTGCCTGGGGTTGTTTCGATGAATTTAACCGGATTGCAGTTGAAGTATTGTCTGTGGTAGCCGTACAAGTAAGCAAATGCTTAGCATTCCATGCTTAGATATGTGAATTAGGCATTTGATCTTTCGAAAGTATGAAGATGAGGATGGTCGTGGTCTACTTTCGTTGTATAAAAGTTATTTGAACTTGTTTTCGCGAATTCATTTCATATTGGCAAGAAGACACAGAGGAAGGCATCTTGCCCGGAGTCCATAGTAGGCATAATAATTCCCAGAGTCTAACCGTGACTTGTTACGTTGCCAGAAATTTCGCTTGCATCATCAGTGAGCTTTGCCATTCTCCGCACCAAGCAACGAACTTGTCAAGGAGACAAGTGAAGTCAATCCCTCGACAACCGTTCTGCAGGAAACGGTTACACTATTACTCCTCTTTCTGTCCTGGCCTATCTATCTGCTCTTTACCCTCTTATCAAACTCTTGTCTCTTTGACGAGTTCGTAGCTTGGTGCGAAGAATGGCAAAACTCACCGATGATACCGACTACGATGCCGGCGAAACGTTTTTGAGAATGTATCAAGTCCACTGGTAGATGCTGGGAGTCGTGACAACTACTATGGCAGACAACTTCGGACTAGGTGCGTTCTACACAGTCGCCCTGACAACAAGACCAAGTTGCGACAACGAGGTCGACCC